GAATTAAAAGACAGCGGTTACGCTGGCTAGGTCATGGTCCGAATGGACGAAAACACATGAGCATTGAAAGTATCCGCCGGGGGAAGCAGAGGAAGAGGAAGGCCCCTCTTCGTTAGAGAAGGACCTGGCTTCGCTTGGRGTATCCAATTGGCGCCCCGTAGCTAAAAGAAACGACTGGCGCGCTGTTGCAAACTAGGCTATAATCGCGTAAGCGGTGTCTACGCCAGTAAAGAAGAACAACCTTCTGGTCGATTTGATACAACTTAATAGAATTGTGTTCATTAACTTTTGCTAATCTTATGAATGAAAAAATATTTTTAAATTGTTTGAAGTAAGAAAGTAATATTTACTTTAGCGAAAATGCCTTATCATGCAGCTAAGATTAATATTGTACTTACGGTAAAAAATTTTTCAAATGGATCAACCAAACTCAAAATTAGTTCTTTTTCATCTGYCTCCAAGACGTCAGGGTATGGGAAAACTTCCGCTGAAAGCATTTTTCCACGAAAAATATTCATCATAAATGACGAACTATTTTTTAATTGTGAACTCTTGGTATCACTTTTAATATCCTTCAAATCCATATTAGTTCGAGCCGAAAAATATCTGCAGATATAATTTTCAAAATGATTTAAATGATTGATATTATTTATGAAATAAGCAATTTAAGATTTACCACTATGAGCAAAATTTAGTAATACTTTGGTCATACAGGGTTTGTCCGGAAAGTAACAGTGAGTCGATGTCAAAAAATTTATTGAACCAATAGTTATAATTCTTTAAAAACTTTCAAAACGGGCTCCTTATGCGTCGATGCAGCATTGCCAGGGCGATTTGCAAGCATTGAAGGCATCACGGAAGGCATTCTCAGGAATAGCCTTGAGAGCCGAGGTGCATGCTGCTTGGGTACCCTTTGTCGTCTTAAAATGCGTGCCTTGCTTCAGTCTTTTCGGGCAAGGAAGTAAAATATGTCCAGGGACACATCTGCGCTGTAGGGTGGGTACGGAAACGTTGGGATATCGGCCTTGGTTAGGTAGCTGTTCGAAGGAAAGGCGCAAGTTCTGGTCATCAGTGAGCACTTTAGGAACAGCTTCGCGTACACCTTGCGCCTGTTCAAGTGCTCCGTCACAATGTCAGGAGCTACAGATTTTGATAAATTTAACATCTGGGCAATTAAACGAATACTTAGTCAGACGGTTTGAGTTCAAACGTTTGTCCTGACTTTCCAGGTGCTCTAAAACAACTAACCATCCGGTCGTTCGTGAGCTAGGAACGCCCTATACCGAATCCAGTCGGTGCGCGAGTTAATATCGTTTCCACGATATGAGTTTAAGAAAACAATTTTATTTCTACGCCGAAATGCGTGTCTTTATTGATATTCTTAAGAACTAATTTTAATATAAGATCTTACAGCTATTTATACTAGTGAAATGCTGCTGCTGTTATCTGCTTGAAACTTCGTTGTTGTAATTCAATATCCGTTATCTTGCTATCACTTGTTTGTTATACAAGTAGAAGAGATGCGGAGGTGGTTATCGCAGTGGATTATTCCATTGCCAGATGTTTATCGTTTATATGTTGAGAATGCATTTCTAGATAATGCATGTTTGGTTGGTATTGTAATAATAGTCCATTTCTATTGTTCGACTGATAGTGCATGTCAATTATCGGTTTACATAGTTCGTTCGGGATGTATATTAAAAGATAATATGTATGTGAGTGTGTGACCCGGAGCGARTCTATGTCGTTAACTGACGCACGCCCCGAAGTCGCGGCAGAAAAAAATGAGTCCTATTACCTTCCGGACAAACACTGTAATTTTAGAATTCTTATTTTATTCTTCAAAACTTATATCGCCTCCTCAAAGAAATTCCTTTGGCTCTAATACACTTGTGCCAACGTTTTTTCCAATCCTCGAAAATCTTGTTAAAACCAGTTTACGGAATAGCCTTCAATGCGCGTAGCGATTCTCGTTTAAAGTCTTTAATTGACTCAAAACGGTTTCCCCGAAGTGGTCGTTTGACTTTGCTGAATAGTCGGAAGTAACACAGAGCTAAATCAGACGAATATGGTGACTGCAGCGATATTGGTTGAAAGTTTGGCGAAAAACACAATTTAACTAATAGCTTCGCGCAAACGACGATAATACTCACAAATCTTTGTTGACAGTTTGTCTGGTYGAAAGAAGTTCGGAATGCACCACAGAGATAATCGAAGAACACTGCCATTACAACCTTGAATTTTAAATTCTTTAACACGGTTGATAGATGGTCGTAAGCATAGATAGCGGTTATAGCCGAGATTACAATACGCGACGATCGTTCTTCCTTTTTTAGRGCTGGGGYCAATTGGAGATTACAAGTGCAGCCAGAACCTTCTCCAACTGGTCTTTCCAACGGAGTGTACATCTCTCACGTCCTCTGCTTCCACCAGCGGGTACTGTGTCGAAAACTTTCAGAGTTTCCTTCCTTCCCGAGCTGTTGGTATTGCTTAAGGGGTTAGGCCACTCTAGAGGGTCATAAAATAGGCTTTTTGTTTTAGATTTTATTTCGCGAAAACTATTAAATAAATCTGGTTTTTAACAACAGGGATTTATTATACATATAATTAACAGCTTATAACYATTTTTGAAGAAAAATTAATTGAAAAATGGCGGCTACACAGCGTTCTCCCTAGGATGTCTCCGTTTTTTCGGGAATCACGGCCGGACACACAGCTCTTGTAATTTTTTTATTTTAATAAGTTGTTCAACGGTTTCTGCTTGTAAATAGCAATAGCTACAGAATTTTTGACAAAATGGCGGGCCTTTAAAGGGACAAGTAACAATTTGACCCAAAAAATTGCTTGAAATTTGTTAATAAAAAACAAACTATGCAAGATAAAAAAAAAATCCTACGTACTTCTGTAAGCTCCTGCGAATGGTAGGCATCTTGCCGTGGTGCAGGGGCTTAAGTCGCAAGGCATATTCGGCACGGCGAATCCAACCGTTAGGACTGGCAGCGGAAAGACGGCAACCCCGGCAGCCAAACGTAAAAGCAACCAAATCACGCCACAGGAGCCACCAAACTCCAAAAAGCRAAGGGGCAACTACGCCCAGGTCGCTGGTGGCCAGCTCTCCGCCCCGAATCCTCYTCGGGCAGCTGAGGGACAGCGCAGATATGCGGATGCCTTGAAGGGCATACGGATGGCTGTGCGGCCCTTGAACTACCCCGCGGAGACTCTAGAAGCGGAGGAGCTCACSGCCCTACAAGATCTCCTCATGGAAGAGGTGTACAGGGGTTGCAAGGACCCGGTAGCCTYCCATGGGGTATACTTCAAGGGCGGGTTCATGCAGATCGACTGCAAAGACGTAGATAGCGTCAAATGGCTTCGGGAGATCGCTTCCAAGCTGGTCTAACTCAACCCATTTTGGGATCTCTGAATCCGAGTCCAGAGATTGTTCCCAAATGGACCACCACCTCTTCGTCGATTTCAAAGCTGCTTTCGACAGCACGAAAAGGAGCTGCCTTTACGCCGCGATGTCTGAATTTGGTATCCCTGCAAAACTTAT